TTCCTATCATTAAGTGGGCCATTTTCTTGGTTGTTTTATGTTCTCCTATATCTGTCAGACTTTAGTTTTATTGGTACAACACTTTCTTCAGAACTTCTTAAAGAGCTGGTCTGGAGTTGGTAAATTCTTTTAAATTCTGTTTACCTGAGAATGTTTATAAATATATAAACATTCTTGCCAGGTATAGTAATCCTGGTTGAAATTCTTTTCAATACTTTGAATATATTTCCTCATGCTTTCCTTGCCTGCATTTTTTCCAATGAAAGGCCCATTGTTAACCTGATATGATAACCTTTTTAACTTGACATTTCTCTCTTGCCAATTTTAATATCTTGTCTTTGTGGTTTTTGCCAATCTGGCTATGATGTGCCTTGGAGAGGATCTTCTTGGGTTGATTCTATTTGGGGTCCTTTATATTTCTTGGGTCTGGATCTTTCAGTGTCTCTCTAGGTTTGGAAAGTTCTCTTCCAGGATTTCATGGAATAGATTATCAATGCCCTTATTTTCTTCACCTTCTGGGATTCCTGTTGTCTGGATGTTTGGGCTTTAATGTTATCTAGTATTTCCTGTATATTGTCCTCAATTTTCTTGGTTATTTTCTCAATCTTTTTGATAATTTTTTCTGGATCAGAGGTTTTGTCTTCCACATTCAAGAGTCAGTCTTCTGTATGATCTAATCTGCTTTTAATACTTACAAAAGATTTCAATTTCCTGTATTACAGTCTTCATCTCTAACAATTCCATTTGATTCTTTGTGAAAGGCCTTCATCTCCTGTAGTTCATTGTCCCTTTTCTCTTGCATCTCATTTAGTTTTGTCACTATAAGTATTCTGAATTGTTTATCTGACATTTCCATGAGTTCCATTGTGTTGCCTGTGGATGATAAGGTTTTGATGTTTTCCCTTGGGGGAGAGAGATTTTATTGGTTGCTCATATTTCTTGGGCCTATGCAATGGTTTCAAGTCATCTCATGGTTTGTTTCTTCCTAAGTTCTTCCAGTTAATTCTAAGCATTCAAAGGTGTATGGGAGTAGGTAATTGGTGATCTCTCTACTGTTCTAACTCCCTGATGCTCACCAGCAACCTGGTGAATATTGGACTTAGTGTCATTAGACTTGGGCGATCCAAAGTCATCCTGGTCTCTAGAGAACAGGTGTGCCTGGGACTGAGCTGCTGAAATTCAACTGAGAAATACAGAAGGAATTTCAGAAAATGCTGTGGTTTCAGAACTCAGAGGGATGTGGCAGGCAATGAACCACAGACTCTCTGCCCCTCAGTCTCCCTGGCACTCTTGAGAGTTCAAAGACGAGTTGGGGAGAGGATGAACCAAGGGACCCTGCAGTATAAGCTTTCAGTCATGAACAGTTTGCAGTATGGCAAGGCTCCATCGTTGGAATGGGTGTCACGAGAGGGGGTGAACAGTGCAAGATCTTCTCAAGTCCCAAATAACGCACCTGAGACTTCAAAGGTGAGTAGAGGAGGGGATGGGCAACGGGACCCTGCAGTACAAGTTTTCAGCTGCCCTCAAAGGACTTTCATACCAACAACGTCCAAGGGCCTGGAATGTTCATACCACAATCTGGATTTCTTCATTTTTTTTCTATTTTTATTTCTCTTATTCATGCATTTTAAAATAGTTATTAATCACTATACCCAAGATATAGATCAAGGAAGACACAGGACCAGGTGTTAGTGCAGCAGTTATGCAACTGGATCCTCATGGGAAGGTCCCAAGTTCATATCCTGAGGTCTTCCTTATACAGGCTAGGTATGTGTACACAGGCCATTGACCTAGGATAGCTGAGACTGAAGGTGGATCATGCCATGAAGACCCTGTTAAGGTATCTCTCTCTTTCTCTCATCCTCTCATGGAAGAAATAAATGAATAAACTTTTGAAAAGGAGGGGCCAGCAGGTGGCTTGGAGATTAAGGTGCTAGATCCCACATGGCCAACTTTGTGGTTCAAGTCTCAGACTCAGTGACTTGAGAATCATGCGAGGCACATGTGCATGCATCCAGGAGAATGGAGAAGAGGTTGCAGTGAGGCCATCCCCCTTGGGAGAGGGGGATGATTCTCACTCTCCCTGCTTCTCTATCTCTCTATAGTGAGCACATGTACCCTATAGCAAAAGAAAAGAAAAGAAAAAGAAGAAAAAAGGAAAAGAAGAGAAAAGAGAAGAGAAGAAAAGAAAAGAAAAAAGAGAGAAAAATTAAAGGAGAGAGAGATGGGTCATGCTTTCATTAATCTTTCAGGGGGAAATAAAACGATTCTTGTAGCAGTTGACTAGAAAATGAAAGTGTTCTACAAATGAAGTCCTAACAGCTGGGGGATCAAAGTATAAACCATTTTACAAACCATCTTCTTTCATCCTCACACCAAGATGCAGATGGTTTCTAATTTCAGAATATGAATATGTGACAAATTCACTTCAAAGGTGTGGCCTGAGGGACTCCTAATATATATATTTAATTATAGAATTTCAATGTTTATTCAACAATCCATAGTCATGATATGAGAGTTTAACAGACTTCTCTTGGTAAATGATACATGAGAGATCACCATTTGTCTTTTTTTTTTTAATCTCCCAGTGGGTACATGCACTTGCCAGAGAGAAACAGAGACAAAGAGTAAAGCAAGAAAACATCTCCTTTGGGATATGGTCACATTGCAATTCCTTTTCCTCCATTTCTCACTCCTTTGAGGATTTGGGGAACATAAGCACACATGCCCAGCATGTTTCTCAAGCCACCAGGTCCAGGACTTGAACTGCACTTTTGACCACATGGAATCCAGCCACTTTAGCCATCACCTCACAGTCTGGTCTGTAGTTTTTTGTGTTTGTTTGTGGTTTTTTAGAGATTTTTGCTATAGGGTACATGCACTCACCAGAGAGACAGAAAGCGAGAAATCACCCCCAAGGGGGGGATAACCACACTGCAATCCCTTCTACTCCGTTTTCCTCTCAGGATCTTGGGCATGCACGCACACACATACACACACACACACACACACATGGCGTGTTTCAAGCCGCTAGGCCTAGGACTCAAACCATGGTCGACTACATGGGAGTCCGGCAACATAACCATTACCCCATTTGCTGGTCCAATTTTTTGTTTGTTTTAAACACAAATATGCTCTATCCAGTGGACATATGTAGAGTACAATACACTGATTTAAACTACCCATGAAGCATTCATAAAAATTGACATGTATTAGGTGCATCAGTTAGGGATAGAATTCAGCTGGAAAAAAAAAAAAAAAAACCCTTGTTCACTCCCCCTTAAGAGAAAACAAAGACAAAATGTTCTGCTCTAGAAAGAACTACATTTTTTTTTTTTTCCATAATGAGACATCCAGAAATAAACAATCCAAGGCTGGTGTAGTCACATGAAGACACCAACTCTATATAGCTTGCATACTCTGAGAGCGCAAGGAGATGGTATAGTGGTTAAGGCACTGGACTCCCCCAGGGCCAACCCCAGCTCAAATCCCAGTCCTGGTGGCTTGAAACACACTGGGCACATGTGAGTGCATGCCCCAAATCCCAAGAGCAGAATAGAAAAGGGATTATGGCATGGCCATCTCCACTGGAGGATGATTTCTCACTTTTCCTCTCACTGTTTGACTCACTCTCTCTGGTGAGTGTATGTGCCCTATAACAACAAAAAGAAAGAAAGAGATAAAGAGAGAAAAAGAGAAAGAGAGAGAGAAAGAGAGAAAGGAAGAAAGAGAGAAAGAAAGAAAGAAAAATATACTAAATATTTTTAAATTAGGGAGTAAGGGTGGTTGTGAATTTTGGCCACCCTCTCCCTAGCCTGTGGCTTTTACTTTCATAGTGACAGGATGGCAGTGGTTTTTCCAGCTCTGGGCATGGCCTGTATAAGTGGCGTGATACGGAGAGATCTGGCTAGATGAAACCCTTCCCATATACCATCTCTCCCTGGAGTCACACCCAGTGCCTTCTTACATTTATACTGGTCAGGACTGGGGACACAGCCTTCTATGGCTGCAAGAAGGGCTTGGAGATGGAGGGGTTTTGTTAACATTCTTTTCTAAGGAAGGAGGGATGATCTTCATTGGGAACTAGCAGGACAGGTCACACTAGACCTAACAGCAAATCTCAACAAATACCTGATATTCAATAACACACAGATCACATGCCCTGCTCACCATGTAATTAAATTAGAAACCAACAAGAAAGTGAAGCAACAGCCATAAAACATGCAAGAACTTTCCAGCGCATTAGAAACATTCTGTATCTGAAAAGCAGTGCAGGTTACCTATGTGTACATCTGTCAAACTCATCCAACTGTACACTGGAAATTGATGCATTTCATTACCAGTAATTACCTCTCTATAAAGACAGATCCATTCACTGGTATTTTAAAATGCCAAGTAACTCGTGGGTCAAAGAACAGATCACGGCACTTAAGACAAAACTTAGAATTAAGCCAAAATGTGGCACAACAGTAATATGCAATGCTCCTTGGGGCTAACTCACATGCAGAGGTTCCAGTTTTACATCTGGAGACCTGAGTATGCTGGGCACACGTGTGCCCATGATCCAGGGCTGCGTGAGGCTGGGTGTGGGTCATGGCATCAATGCTCTATTTGGGGCACCTGTCTCTGTCTCTGATACTCATGGAGGAAAGAAACTTTCAAAAATACTTATTTGGGGCCAGCAGATGGTATGGAGTTTGAGGCACTGAATTCTCACATGGCCAACTCCACAGTCTGAGTTCCAGACACAGAGGCTTGATAAAACATGCCAGTCATGTGTGCAAGCGTGCATACCCAAGATCTCAAGAGGAGACTAGAGGAGAGGGGACTGTGGTGTGGCCATGCTCCCTGAGGAAGTGATTTCCCACTCCCCGCCCCCTCTGGTGAGTACACGTGCCCTATGACAAAAAAATCAAAAAGAAAAAACAACACAAAAAACAATTTTAAATAATATACAGCAACACATGGGCTACAACTAAATGAGTATTAGGAGAAACAACAATGGTACCAAATGTTTATATCCTCACAAGCAGTTAATGAGCAAGGGGCCCACAGTACGGGAGAGGAAGTGACAGAGGCAGGCCGCCCTCCCCAAGGCTCTCCCGCCCCACGTGGACCCTCTTGTGCACGGTCAGGGATGAACTGTGCCGGAAAGCCTTGTCACACTGATTACATGGGTAGGGTCTCCCCGCAGTGTGTGTCCTCACGTGCACGATGAGATGTGAAGACTGGCCGAAGGCCCGTCCGCACTCCTGGCACGTGTAGGGTTTCTTGCCTGTGTGCGTCCTCACGTGTTTCCTGAGGGACGAGGGCTCACTGAAGGCTCGTCCACACTCCTGGCACACGTAGGGCTTCTCTCCCGTGTGAGTTCTCATGTGACTCTTCAGGGTGGAGAGGCGACTCAGGACCTGGCCACAGGTGCCGCACTCGTACAGCTTCTCCCCCGTGTGGATCCGTTTGTGCACATTCAGGTGCGTGCTCGTCCGGAATGGCCTCCCACACTGGTTGCACTCGTATGGTTTCTCCCGAGTGTGGGTTCGGAGATGCGTCTTGAGGGATGAGTGTTCCCTGAAGGCTTTCCCACACTGGCTGCACTCGAAGGGCTTCTCTCCCGTGTGAGTCCTCACGTGGCTCCGGAGGGAGGATGGCTGGTTGAAGGCTTTCCCGCAGTCCTTGCATGCGTAGGGCTTCTCTCCTGTGTGGTTCCTCTGGTGCAAGATCAGGTTGAAGTTCCTCGTGAAGGTTTTCCCGCACTGGCTACACTCATAGGGCTTCTCTCCGGTGTGAGTTCTCATGTGTCGCCGCAGGTTCGAGGAATATTTGAAGGCTTGCCTGCACTCCAGACACTCAAAGTACTTCTCGGTGGTGTGGGTCTTCTTGTGCCTGAGAAGGTCGGAGCCGTACCTGAAGGACTTGTCACATTTATCACACGCGTAGGCTTTATCCCCACTCCGCATTTTCTCAGGCAGGATGAGGTGAGTGCTCTGGAAGAAGGAGTTCCTGCTCTCTTGACATTCAAAAGGAGCCTCTCCAGGATGAATCTTTTGGTACTGAAGAGGCAGTTCGATGCTGTTAAAGGGTTTCTCCAGTTCATCACATCTATAAGGTTTTCCACCAGGCTGAGGCAGCTCCTGTCAACGAAGAAAAATGGGAACACCAAAGGCTTTATCATAATCACATTCTCCCCACTGTGAATTCAATGGAAAAGAGATATTTTTTTTAAATACTTTTATCATGACATCTTTTTTTTATTTTTGGTATAGTGCATGTACACTCACCAGAGGGAGATAAAGAGAAAGGAGAGAGAAGTGAGAGGGAGAGATAACCCCAACAGGGATAACCACAAAATGATGCCTTCTCCTCTAGAGATTCTGGGCATGCACACAGGAAGACATGCTTGGTGTGTTTCTCAAGCCACTGAGTTCAGGACTCAAACCATGTAGACAGCCAAGTGGGATCACCTTAACTAGCATGTCACCTGCTGGCCCTAGGTATTTTCCTTTTAAACAAATTATTTATTTTGAATTTGCTATGGGGCACGTACACTCACCAGAGAGAGAGAGAGAGAAGAAGAGAAAGAAAGTGAGAAACAAGTCACCAGGTCTAGGACTTGAACCATGATTGGGCATATGGGAATCTAGCTCCTCAACCACCATGCCACCTGATGGCCCCAAGGCCCTAGGTTTTTGGTTTTGTTTTGTTTTTTAGAGAGAGATTTTTGTTATAGGGTGCATGTGTTCACTAGAGAGATGGAGAAACAGAAAGCAAGAAATCACCTCCCAGGGAGGATGGCCACACCACAGTCTCTTCTCTATTCTCCTCTCAGGATCTTGGGCATGCACACACACACAGGCCCAGCATCAGTTTTAAGTAGCCAGGTCCAGGACTCAAACCGTGGTCAACTATGTGGGAGTCCAGCAACATAAACATTATGCCATCTGCTGGTCCCAGCCCTAGGTATTTTTTAATCTTATTTACTTCTATAAGTGAGAGACAGGAAGGCAGGCAGTCAGGGACCCCCAACAGGGCCTTGCCAAGCTGTGATCTTCTCAGCCCATACCACAGACATGCCCTGTATGTTCAGATTGACCCAGGAACTGAATCCAAGACCCCCACATAGCTCCAGCTTCCACATCATGGAACCCGCTGCCTGCACCATCCAGCTAAGTCAAGACACAATCTCAACCCATGCTTACTATTTTCCCCCAATTCATGCCTTCCATAGACTCCCTCCCAAGAAATGGGTTCCTCCCAGATAAGCCCCACCTGCCTCTCTATCTCCTGTGTGGCTTTTCTAAGAAACTACAGCAAGCCCAGAATTATCCTGCTCCAGAGGCCCAAGAACAACTTAAACCTTACCGTTTTCATGCCCATGGGTGGAATTCCTCCAGAAACATCTGGGCTGGGAACTGACTCCTGGGGCTGAAACTGAGGTTCTGAAATGAATTAGAGAGAAAGAAAATAAAAACGACTGCAGGATCAAGGTGAATACAAAAAGTCAGTGAGTGGGTCACCCAGTGGCATGGTGCTAAAGATGGCTGAATCCCACATGGCCGACTGCATGGTTCAAGTCCTCTGAATCTGGAGGCTTGAAAAACATATCCAGCACACATACATACATGCATCCCCAAAGTCCCGTGAGGAGAATGGAGAAGGAACTGCTGTATGGCATACTCCCTGGGGTGTGTGTGAAGGCTGATTTCTCTCTCTCTTTCTTTCTCTCTCTTTTTCTTTCTCTCCAGCAAGTACACACAACCTATTTCAAAAAAATTTTTTAAAAAAAGGTATCATGTGTGAATTTTATTTTTTTGTCAAATACTGGCTCTAAATATGGGAAGATGGGCCAACAGATAGTGTGGTGGCGAAATTGCTGGACTCCCACATGGCCAACCACGGTTTGAGTCCCAGACCTGGCGGCTTGCTCTGTCCCTCTCTCTCTCTCTCTCTCTGTCCTTCTCTGCTGGGTGCAAATGCTCTATAACAAAATTTTTAAATTATAGCAATAAATAAAATTAAATAAATAGGTAAATGGGATTAGCAGGTGGTGTGGTGGTTAAAGCATTCTACATTCCCACATGGCTGACCATGGTTCGAGTTCTGAACCTGTTGGCTTACTTTCTCACTTTCCCTATCTCTCTCTCTCTCACTCTGTGTGTGTGTATGTGTGTGTGTGTGTATCTGGTCAAATTAAAATAAATCAAGAGAAACTGTAAAGAGGAGAATATATCGAAGAATAAAGGAAACGTTTGAGCCAGTTGGCTATGAGAGATTTATGTAATCATAGAAATGAAAAATAGAAATAGTAGATCATTTGGGACCAGCAGTTAGCATAATGGCTATGTTGCTGGACTCCCATGTAGTCGACCACAGTTTGAGTCCCGGACCTGGTGGCTTAAACTCACACCACGCGTGTGTGCATGTGTGCCCAAGATCCCGAGAGGAGAATGGAGGAGAAAGGACTGCAACATGGCCATCCCCCCAGGGGGGTGATTTCTTACTTTCTGTCTCTCTGTCTCTCTCTGTCTGTCTTTCTGGTGAGCGCATGCGCCCTATAGCAAAAACCTCTCCCAAAAAAAAAAAAAAAATTTTTTTTTTTAAATAGATCAATTACTGGGAAAGGATTTTACAAAGATTGGGACTGATGTTGAGATAAAATATTAGCAAGCATTTACAGTGGGAAGGGGTAGCCCCATAACACAGTGGTTAAGCTCTGTGCATAGAACACAGGGAGCCAGATCCTACATGGCTGACTGCAGTTCATATCCCAGCCCCGGTGCCTTGAAAATCATGTTGGTGGAGCTGGCAGATGGCGTAGTGGTTAAGGGCACTTCCCACAGGACCAATCTCAGTTCAAGTCCTGGACCTGGCAGATTGCTTTCTCACTTTCCCTCTCTCTTTTTTTTCTCTCTCTCACTCTGGTCAATAAATAAATAAAGTTAAATAAAATAATTATTTAAAAAAGAAAATCATGCTGGGCATATGTTCACGCCCCAAATCCCAAAGGGCTAGAGAAACAGAGGAAAAGGGATCGTGGTATGACCCACTAGAGGTGCTTTCCCTGTCTCTCTGTCCAGGACACGTATTCTCTGTCAATTAAAAAAAAATGAAAAGAATACACAGTGAAAACTGAATATATACACATGGAAATATGAAATACAAGGGATTTTCAAAAAGTTCATAAAAATGCATATTTTGAAAAATCTATGCATCCACTTGAAAATTTTTCTGCACCAAAAGAAACTTACATTTCATTTTCAAATATTTTAACTGCCAGAGGGTACATGTGTGCACTAGAGAGAAGGGAAAAAAACATGCTTCAATGGGACATGGTCATGCTGCAATCCCTTCTCCACTATTTCTCTATTCTATCAAGATTTTAGGCCCAGGTGCACTCGTCCAGGGTGTTTTTCAAGACTCTGGGACCAGGGTTCAAGCCACAGTCATCCATGTGAGATCCAGCTCCCTTAACCACGAGGCTACAGAGCTGGTCCAATTCCATTTTTCCACAAACTTTTTGAAGTCCTTTTGTATAAATAGGAGGTGAGAACAACTTATGACATCAAAGTATTAGAGTCAAAAAAGACAGTGAAAGAAAAAAGAAAAAGAAAGTGTTTTTTGTTTTGTTTTGTTTTATTACCAGAGAAAGAAAAAGTGAAAAAAAATCACCCCTTCCCCGAAGGGAATGGCCACACTACAATCCCATCTCCTCCAGTCTCCTCTCGCGATTTTGGGCACGCACACACATGTGCTTTTCAACTTTTCAAGTCTGGGACTCAAAGTGCACAGCCAAGGGACCAGCAGTTGGCTATGTCGCTGGACTCCCATATAGTCAAGCACAGTTCAAGTCCCGGACCTGGTGGCTTAAACTCACACCGGGAGTGTGTGCGTGTGTGCCCAAGATCCCAAGAGGAGAATAGAGAAGGGATTGTGGCATGGCCATCCCCCATCAAGGATGATTTCTCGCTTTCTGTCTCTCTCTGTCTTTCTGGTGAGCACACATGCCCTATGGCAAAAACTCTCCAAAAATAAAAGTGCACAGCCAGCCATGTGATCCAGCACCGTAACCACCGTGCCATCTGCTGGCCTGGGAGGAGGGATTTTCTAAGCAACCCAAACAGACCTCCCAGTCCAACGCACTGACCACGGCTCCCTTGTGGACTCTTACCCACTGGAGCCTGCCTGACACTGACCTGGACACGATCCTGTGAAGACCCCTCTCACAGTGGTCTGCAGCTCTTCTCTTTGATCCAGGTGCAACAGCATACGGAGCTTGCAGAGCTCATCTCCTGCTCATGGGAAAAGAAGTATGGCATGTGAAGACCACCCTGTACAGTGGGACCAGCAGTTAGCGTAATGGCTATGTCGCTGGACTCCCATGTAGTCGACCGCGGTTCACGTCCTGGACCCGGTGGCTTAAAACTCACGCTGGGCACGTGTGCGTGCGTGCCCAAGATCCCGAGAGGAGAATGGAGGAGAAGGGATTGCTGTGTGGCCATTCCCCCTGGGGGGAGATTTCTCGCTTTCTGTCTCTATGTCTCTCTCTGTCTATCTGGTGAGCGCACGCGCCCTATAGTGAAAATCTCTCCAAAAAAAAAAAAAGAAAGACCACCCTAAAGTGACACCAGCGTCAAGGTGCTCAAGCCTTTATGGGCTCTAGAGATGGGAGTAGCAAAATAAGCATGCCTGAATTCTGATGGGCACAGCAGGCGCTTAAATTTAACTAAGGGACCAAAATGCAGGGGCTGGACGGTGGTGCGGTGGAAAAAGGAGATGCTCTGCAAGGCAGACCCACATGGGAAGGTTGCAGGTTCGGACCTTGCGCCCTCTCTCAGTATGCTGGGCACACACACGCATGCCCATGATCTGGAGTGGCTGAGGCTGGTGGCCGAGGGGGAGGGGGGATAGATGTAGTACTGGGAGTGCTGTAACACTATCTCCATCTCTCTGTCTCTCTCGCTCGCTCTCTCATGGAATCAATAAACTCTCGAGAAAAGAACCAAGGGCCAGCCCATCGGCTCAGGCAGCTGGATCCTGCATGGCTAACCAAGCGATCTGAGTCCCAGACCTGGCAGACTGAGAAACACATTGGACACATGTGTATGCGTGTCCAAAATTGCAGAAGAAGGGAGAGATGGAGAGGGGGTTGTGGCATGACCATTCCCCACTGGGAGGGCTTTTTCCTTTTCCTCTGTCTTCCCATTTCTCTCTGGAGAGCACAAGCAACCTCTAGCAAAAATGTAAATAAATAAATAAATAGATAGATAGATAATTAAACAAATAAATAAATATCAAAATACTAGCTCCCTCACTGGGTCCCAGAGGGTATTGAGGCTCTCTAGTCCACAAACCCCAGTCAGGGTTCAGCTCAGAGACATACGTTGAGAAGCCTAGCAATTTTCTTTTTTTTTTTTTTTTTAAATGTTTTTGCCATAGGGTGCATGTGCTCGCTGGAGAAAGACAGAAGAAAAATAAGAAATTGCCTCTCAGGGAGGATGGCCGTACCACAGTCCCTTCTCCTCCATTCTCCTCCTGTGATTTTGGGCATGCACGCACACATGCCTGGTGTAATTTTCACGTCACCAGGTCTGGGACTCGAACCAAAGTCGGTCATGTGGGAGTCCAGTGCCTTACCCACTATGCCACCTTCTAGCCCCAACCTAGAAACCTCCCATGACAGAGAGAAGATAGATCTTCACTCCTAGCAGGAGCTGCAGGACTGTACGCAGTGTGAGGACAAGACTTGTCTGTCCTTTCGTCTTTTGGTTCCCTGAACACACGCAGTTCCTAGAATCCATGGCTGCCACGTGAGTGTGTGAAGTGAGGCGCAGGCCTTACCAAGGGAGGCCAAGTTCTTGCAGTTCTCCAGCATCACTTCCCTGTACAGGCTTCTCTGGGCGGCATCCAGAAACACCCATTCTTCGGGGGTGAACACCACAGCCACATCCGCAAAGGTGACCTGTTCTCAAAACACACATGCACCCCGGCTCAGCCAGGGACCGCCACCACCGATACTCAAGAGAACGGTAGGCCAGCCCGATGTCCTGGTGGGTAAGGGAGCTGGACCCCACATGGCCACCCACATAGCTCAAATCCCTTTCCCAGTCACTTGATAAACACACTGGGGTGAGGCCAGCAGGTGGTATGGTGATTAAGGTGCTGGACTCCCATATGGACAACCACGGTTAGAGTCCCAAACCTGACCACTTAAAAAATCACACTGAGTATGTGTGCATGAGTGCCCAAAATCCCAGGAGGAAAATGGAGAAAAAAAATTGCAGCATGGCTGTCCCACCTGGGGGGGTGATTTTTTTCACTTTCCCTCTCTGTCTCTCTCTAGCAAGCACACTATGGCAAAAACCGTTTTAAAAAATAAAAGAAGAACAGAAAAGTATACTGGGCATCTGTGTATGTGTGCCCCAAATCCCAACAGGATGGAGAAATGGATAAGAAAGTTTGCAGTGGGATCAGCAAACGGCATAGAGGTCATGTCACTGGATTCTCACATGGCCGACCAAAGTTTGAGTCCCAGACCCGGAAGCTTGCAACTCATGCTGGGCATGTGTGTGTGTGCATGTCCAAGATCCCAAGATGAATTTGAATGGAGGAGAAGGGGTTGCAGCATGGCCTTCCCTCCTAGGAGATGATTTTTCTTTCTGTCTCTCTGGTCTTTCTCTGTCTCTCCCACAAGTGCACACACTCTATAAAAAAAAAATCTCTCCAAAATAAAGACAGATTACATTATGATCACAACCTAATGAAGGGTGCTTTCTCCCTTTCTCTCTCTATCTCTCTCTCTCTCTCTTTCTCTTTCTCTCTCTCTCTGACAAATACATGCATCCTCTAGCAATAAAAATAAAAAATAAATAAATATAGGTAAGTATGAAAAAAGAAAGAGAGAGCGAGGTGGCCTGCAGACTTCTGCAAGGCAACCCCTTGCAGAAGATGTTCAGGTGGGGCTTCGGGAGCTCCTGGAATCTGCCTCTTCCCTCGGACCTCAGAACTGGAGGTCCTTCTCTACTCTCCAGCCCCTGAGTAACTGCAGCAGAAATTGTAACGTCAAAGGCCTTTACTTCTGGAAAGGACTTTTCAGAGACAGGCAGTGGCACACATCAATAATGCAAGTGCCCCACGTGGGAAGGTCCTGGGTTCGTGTACTGGCCCCCCCAGGCTTGCTGAGCTCACATGCCTGTGATCCCGGGTGGCTGATGCTGGGGGTGTTCGCTCTCTCTCTTTCCCTCGCTCTCATAAAAGAAATGAAAAAACTTTAGAAAGAAAGAAAGAAGACTTGTGAGTTGACAACCAGCCAGGAAGCCCTTACAGGTTTATGCTCCTGTAGGCCAAGGTCCAGGAGACCTGCGTGTGGATGGCAAGAGAGGCCAATCCAGCCAATGCACTCTGCTCAGTGGGAACACGAGGACCATGAGACAATATGGCCCACATCCCTGCTGTGGCTCCTCAGCACTCAGCAGCCTGGGGAGGGTCTGACGAGGGGGTGGGATCGTTGCCTGGGCTCCCTCCAACTTCAAGAGGTAGCTTTTTGGAAGCCTAGAGACCATCCCTGTAGGGTCGAGAAGGTCCAGGCTACGGGAATGGGGCAGGTTCATCCTGTGGGCCCAGCCATGGTTATTCAGAGTCAGGATTTCTCACTCACCTGCGAACAGGGAGTCAGCAACCCTGAAACCATGGCTTCCTCCTCCATGCTGTCCTCCTGGAGCCAGACGGGATCCTGAGCAGGCAGAGCTAGGGAAGAAGAGAGGAGGTGGGAGGGTTGGGACCTGGTCTGGTGTGCACACTCGTAGCCCCGGAGGCTGCACACGCTATGGGTGACCATGTGTGCATACACACACATGCACACTCACAGGGACACACACAGTCACACCAAGACAAACACTCACATGAACACATGCATGCACACACATACACAAACATGCACACGTGTACACACAGGCACACACTGGACAGACTACCACATGCACAAACACACAGTTAAAATATGAAACATTTACAGGAACAGTTTGATTGTACCTCTTAAAATCAACAGTTTGTGAGGTTGAGAATTTAATGGTGCCCAAAGAGAGGTCTGGGCTTAGCCTCAGCCAAATGGACTGACTCTTGTTGTTGTTGTTATTCTTAGAAATTTTTGCTATAGAGCACATGCACTTGACAGAGAGACAGAGAGAGAGAAAGCAAAAAAATCACCCCCCAGGGGAGATGGCCATGCCGCAATCCCTTCTCCTCTATTCTCCTCCTGGAATCTTGGGCATGCATGCACATGCACCCAGCATGATTTTCACATCACTGGGGTCAGAACTCGAATTTCAATTGGCCATGTGGGAGTCTAGCACCCTAACCAGTACGCCACCTGCTAGCCCCATGGACCGACTCTTTCTAAACACAAAGAGCTGTGACCTCCTGTGAGCCACAGTGCCTTCTTGAATGCACAGACAACGGGAGATGGTTTTACATATTTTCTGCTTACGATGCCCCAGCAGGGCCCACAGTCAGAGGAAAAGAGGGCAGGGTGGGATGCAAGCTCTCAGACGACTCACAAGGACAGCAGGGCCCTCTGGCCGCATGGTCTATGCGGCACCCACTCACCAGCAGCCCAGGTCACCTGCGTGTCGGGAAGGTCCGGTGCAGGTGTCTGCGCCACCACCCTCTGAATCTGCACGGCCGCCTTCATCCCCTGGATAGAATGACGGGGGTGGCAGATTTGAGTAACGGCCAAAGGACACCTGTTTACACCTGTTGGCTCTGAGTCTGCATGACTGGCCCTGCTTGAGGGAAGGGCTATGGGGCCCAGCTATGGAGGCATGTACTTCTAAGACACTGCTCTGCAGGCTGAGAACACACAGGAGACTCAGGGTTCCATACCTGGTCTACTTAAAGGCAGGGAGGGGTAGAGCAGGCCTGTCATGCCAGCAGCTCGGGGACACTGAGGCAGGAGAATGGCGGGCTCAAAGCCAACCTGGGCAGCATAGCTAGAATATGTCTTAAAAAAAAAAAAAAACAGGTGCAGCCAACAGGTGGCATACTGGTTAAGGCACTGGACTCCCATATGGTTGACCACGGTTTGAGTCCCAGACCTGGCAGCTTAGAAATCACACCAGGCACATGTGTGTGCATGCCCGGAATGCCAGGAAGAGAAGAGACTGCAGTGTGGCCATCCACCCTAGAATGTCATTTCTCACTTTCCCTCTCTCCATCTCTCCGTCTCTCTCCTCTCTATTGAGTGCTTATGCATTACGGCAAAAACCTTGGGGAGGGGAAGAAGTGGGGCCAGCACGTGGCACAGTGGTTAAGGATACTGGACTCCCACGTGGCCGACTGTGGTTCAAGTCTCAAACTTGGTGGCTTACTTTCTCGCTTTCTCTCTCACTCTCTCTACCTCACTCTATTCCTCTCTGGTCAAAGTAAAATAAATAAATGGATAAATAAAAGTTAATTTAAAAAAAAAAAAAAAAAAACCTCAAAGATATTTAAAAAAAAAAGAAGAACCAGGACCAGCAGATTGCATAATGGTTAGGACACTGGACTCCCACGTAGTTGACTGTGGTTCAAGTCCCAGACCCGGCAGCTTAAAACGCACACTGGGTATGTATGCCTGCGTGCCCAAAATCCCAAGAAAATGGAAAAGGGACTGCAGTGTGGCCATACCCCTGAGGGATGATTTGTCATCTTCTGGATTTCTGTCTTTCCAGTGAGCACACATGCCCAATAGCAAAAATCTCTCTTAAAAAAAAAAAAAAAGGATACACCTCAGATCTGCTGGGAGGCTGAGGCAGAAGGATTGTCAGATGGTGAGACTCCATCTGGGGGAAAAAAAAAAAAAAAAAAAAAAGCAGAGGAGACACCCCATATACCTTGCCAAGATTAGCGCATGACTGGCTTAAATACGAAATCACTATGATATAATTACAAGTACAAAGTCGAGCGGAGATAAGGATTTGAACTTTCCTCTCTGTGCAGCTGCTTCCCTGGAAAAAGGCGTCTATCCTGACTTGCATTTCTAAGGAATCCCTCTGGCCTCCTGTGCTGGGGAACAAAGATAATCCCGTGAGTCTTACCATCGGCACGGCACGGCACGGCACGGCACGGCACGGCACTGGACAACGCTCCTTCCAAACTGTCCTGCAGGGTGGCTGCCTCTCTGGCCTTAAGCTGGGATTCCCAGTCTAAAATGATTAGAAAACAAATAAACTCCAGTGAGAAATTGTGGTATGTGGGGCCAGCAGGTGATGTGGTGGTTAAGATGCTGGACTCCCACATGGCTAACCACAGTTCGAGTCCCGGACCAGGTGGCTTCAAAATCCCACCAGGCATGTGTGTGTGTGTGTGTGTGTGTGTGTGTGTGTGCCCAAAATCCCAAGAGAAGAATGAAGGACAAGGGACTACGGTGTTGCTGTCCCCATAGGGGGTGATTTCTCACTATCCCTCCCTCTTTTTCTCTCTGGCGAATGCTCAAGCCCTATGGCAAAGACCCAAGGAAAAAAACAGTGGTATGAAATTGAATATATGTAGATACCTAGATTAATATATACATATACATATATATAAATATCCATGTGACACATATGTATATACACATGCATTTATACATACACATATATTAACATATGTAGACTTTTTTTTTAATATTGACCCTAAGCTGAGGAAGATACTGAAAGAGAAGAAGGTGGCCCTGGGTAGGATTGTATGAAGAATTTACACTCAGGGGACCAGCAATTAGCGTAATGGCTATGTCACTGGACTCCCATGTAGTCGACCGCAGTTTGAGTCCCGGACCCGGTGGCTTAAACTCACACCAAGTGCATGTCTGTGCGTGCCCAAGATCCCGAGAGGAGAATGGAGGAGAAGGGATTGCGGCGTGGCCATCCCCTCGGGGGGTGATTTCTCGCTTTCTATCTCTCTGTCTCTCTCTGTCTTTCTGGCAAGCACACGCGCCCTATAGCAAAAACCTCTCCCAAAAAAAAGAAAAAAAAAAAGAATTTACACTCAGGAATGAGTGGGGAATGAGAGGCAATTTCCCAGTTTGACACATGGCCGACTACCTATTCAAGTCCCAAACCCGGTGGCTTGAAAAACACACTGAGCGCATGTGTGTGCATGCCCAAAATTCCAGGAGGAGAATGGAGGAGAAGGGATTGTGGCATGGCCAATCCCTTGGGGGGTGCTTTCTCACTTTCTCTCTCTCTCTCTCTCTCTCTCTCTCTCTCTCTCTCTGGCAAGCACACATACCCTATAGCAAATTAAAAAAAAAAAAAAAAAAAAAAACATGATTTAAAATTAAAAACCCAGGACACGCTCCCAACTGAATGGGCCGCAAGTTCTGTGCCTGCACAGTACTCACCTGTACCTGTGGCGTGGAGAATCCTGCATTCTGCTCCCTTTGGCTCTGGCCTTGGCCTCAATTGGGAAACAAGACCAGGTTTGCATGATGGAGACCCTGAAGATAGAGAAAGAGGCCCGGGCTGAGCAAGTGAGAGCTTGCAGAGGAAAGCAAACTCACGCCCAGGCCCAGCTTCCCAAGGGCTTCAGATCGTGAAGGTAGCAAAACGACTGTGTCCGACTGCTGATGAACTCCGGAGAGCTTTCTCGCAAAATCCCAAGCTATGAGCACCCTCCCCTCTGCTCCAAGAGGCTGAGGCTCTCTAACCCCTAAAGTCCAGAGCCAAGGTCAGGGAGACCCACTGCTATGATCAGAACATCCCTACAGCTTCACGTGTTGGAACTTGGTTGTATTATGAAAGTGTTCAGAGGAAACTTACTGACTTTATGTTGTCAAAAGGTGAGGTCTCCAACTGCAACATAAACTTTGTAAGTACAGGGAGATATCCCAAGTTCATGGAAAAGTAGAATTAAAGTATAAGTCTATGAGCAGGCCCTGTGGTACAGTGGTTAAGCCCTGTGCTTTCCAAGAGCTGGATCCCATATGGCCAACCGTGGTTCAAGTCCCGGATCTAGCAGCTTGAGAAACACACCAGGTACATGTACATGCCCAACATCCCAACGGGAGGGAAAGAAAAGGAGAAGGGATTGGGACATGATTGTTCTCCTTGGGGTACTTTCTCCCTCTCCCTCTCTCTAGAACAAAACAAGGTCAGTCAAGTGGGAGTCCAGCCCTTTAACCACCATACCACCTTCTAGCCCCAATAAGTAGCTTTTCTTAAGACAACATTGCCTCACAGCAGGGGGCGAGAAATGGATGCTCACAGCGGCGCTGCCAAAATAAAAGCTCTTCCATAGTGGTTAAAGAGCTGGACCCCCACATGGCCAACCACAGTTTGAGTCCTAGACTCATTGTCTTGAAAATTGCACTGGGCTCGTGTGCATGAGTGCCCAAAATCCCGAGAGGAGAATGGAGGAGAAGAGATTGCCATGTGTCCATTCCCCAGGAAAGTGATTTCTCACTTTCCTCCTCTCTGTCTCTCTCTGTCTCTCTCTCTCTCTCTCGTGAGCCCACACACCCTATGGCAGAAACAACCACCAAAAAACAAAACAAAAACAAACAAACAAACAAAAACTCTCTTAAAACAAAGAAAAGATGAAAGGAAAAGGGCCAGCAGGTGGCATGGTGGCTAGGGTCCTGGACTCCCCGGATGGTCAACCGGAGTTTGAGTTCCAGACCTGGTGGCTTGTTTTCCTAATTTCCTTCTCCCTGTCTGTCTCTGGTGAGCACATGTGCCCTATAGAAAAATTTTAAATAATGATAATAAATAAAATTAGTAAATCTTTTTATAAAAAAAGGAAAACAAGCTAAACTAAGCGAACAGATCTTAAACTAAGAAACTACAAATTGTAACACACACTCGCTTCCTGCCATCTTATTCATCCCTTAATGAGTACATTCAATTCTTTTTAAAAAGTTGACATGTCACTCAAACCAATGTTTACGTGTACACCCAGACCAACTTCCCAGTTGCAAAGCCGGACAGCATTAAACAGTGCATGAAATAAAGCATGAATTACTTAATCCCTACACATTGCTCTTTTTTTTTTTTTTTTTTTTTTTTGAAGAGAGAGATTTTTGCTACAGAGTGCATGCGCTTACTGGAGAGAGAGAGAAGGTGAGACATCATCCCCCAGAGGGGATGGCCAAACAGCAATCCTCCTCCATAGCATGATTTCCAAGGCGCCAGGTCCGAGACTCGAACCACAGACATCCATATGGGAGTCCAGCGCCTTAGCCACTACACCACCTGCTGCAGCCACAGTTCTCTTCCATAAGGGAGGTCAGTGCGCTCTTCATGCTCTTCCCCTACAAACCCAGGGAGAACAGCACCTTCCTGAGCTGCCTGTCCCGGGCTGCACTCGGCGCTTGCCCTTCGGACTAGATGACAGTCCTGCCCGCCCCGATCTGGGGCAACTGAGGACAAGGGACCGGGCGGGTGGAGCCCGGCTGCGAGATCGGAGCCACGCAGGCCTCTCTCGATCCCGGGCCACGGCGGGAGGAAGCACCTTTGCCCGGGCGGCCGTCTGAGCCCTGCAGCCCGTCCCCGCACCCCCGAGCCCTGCCCTCCTTCCCGCCCTCCCGAGGGGCCGGGCCGCACCTGCAGATTCGCTGGAGACACTCCCACAGCTACGCGCCGCTCTGCTCCGCACGGACGCCGCCGCCTGCCGCCGCCGCGCACTTTCGCCGGCTGGCTGCAGCCGGAAGCGGAAGTAGCTTGGGCTCTGGTTAGCGGGGACCAAAAGCGCCTTAGACGGCAATGGCGGCTGCAAGGAGAGTAACGTGTTCATCTAGCCTTGGAAGGGGAAGTCTAGTTTCTATTTCCGGGGTGAGATTAGGTTCTGGAGTGGGGTCCGACCTGAGGCCTAGGACCGGTAAACGGGGCTGGGGGCGGGGCCTGCACCAGGGGGCTGCGTGTGGGCGGGGCCTGCGCTTGGGGCGGAGCTTGAGGGCCTGCATTTGGGGGCGGGGCCTCGTAAGCACAGGAGGGTTGTTCAATATGTAGCTTTCTTGCTCACCTTTTCTACCGCTTCCCCTCCTTTCTTCATGGGTCAAATCCAGTGTCCTACAGAAATTTAGGAACGCCCATTGTTTTGCTGCCTTTTTTTTCTGTCCTCGTTTTACTAAAAATAGGAGGATTTATTTTGTTGCACATCTTACCTTTCTCGGTAACAATAAGCTATGTAGAGGCCACCATTGAAGTTCAGACGACTAGATCCCACATGGCCAACTCCATTTTTCAAGTCTCGGATTGGTGGCTTGAAAAACACAGGAGGCACCGCACATGAGTGTCCCAAGTCATGAGAAAAGAAGGGATTATGCTGGTGTAGCCATCCCCCTTTGGGTTAGGGATGTGATTACTCACTCCCGTTCTACCTCTCCAGTGAGCACACACTCACAAAGGCAAAAAAAATCTAAGAAAAAAATAAGATGTGCAAATCTATCCACGACAATAGATCTTATTATTATTATCCTTTTTTTTTTTTTTAGGGTTTCTGCCAAAGGGCATGTGCACTTGCTGTAGAAAGACCAAGAGAGAGACAAAATGAGAAATCACCCCCCCCCCAGGGGTGATGAGTACACAGCAGTCCTTTCTCCAGTCTCGTCCTGGGATTTGGGGCACACCCTCACATAGGCCCAGCATGATTTTTAAGCTGCCTGTTCTAGGACTTGAACCAGTTGGCCATGTGGGAATCCAGCACCCTACTATGCCACCTGCTGGCCCCAAGACTTTTTTTTTAAATTATGTATTTGCTGTGTAGGATAAATGATATATACACATAAGAAAAGTTTAAATGGGGTCTTACTCCCTCCCTAGGTTTTCTTCTCCAGAGAAAGCCCTGAGTAGCCAGTTCCTTCATAATTCTTTATATAGCAAACACATGTCTGTGTTATTTCTTTCAATAAATACTATAAAGCATGCATTGTTTGCTGCATGCTAGGTGCTGGGATATTATTGTTGCAGGATGTTCAGTGAAAGAGAGACAGGACAGGAGGCTTTTGCAGGAAAACAGCAATTTATTCACGTGCTAGCACCATCTCAGATTCACATCCAAAGACTGAGCCCCAAATTTCTTGGGGTCCCCGCCATTTACCTGCTTTAGCTTCTTTGTCTCCCGTCTATGATTATGCACACTTATACATACATTGACTGAATAAGCATTGAGGGAAATGCTTTCTGCAAGGCCCCTGTGTCAGTCAGTCACTGGCTGTGGGCTGCCCTGGGAGAAAAGAGCTGGTATAACCTGATTACAGATGGGTGTGCTAGTCAAGGAACTCTGGGCAGAGCACCAGGGACAGCCACTACATCACCCATACCTTTCCCCCCACCTCAAACATTGCTACACAAGATAGGATCATCACCTCCTCCTTTTTTTTTTTTTTAAGTTTTTGCCTTAGGGTATGAGCACTTGCCAGAGAGACATTGAGAGGGAAAGTAAGAAACCATCCCCACAGAGGATGGCCACACCACCATCCCTTTTCCTCCACCCTCCTGGGATTTGGGGTACACACAACACACGCCCGGTGTGATTTTTACCATCACTTTTCCTCCATTCTCCTGGGATTTGGGGTACACACAACACATGCCCTGTGTGATTTTTAAATCATGGGGCCCAGGATTTGAACCATGGTCAGCCACACGAAGTCCAACACCTTAACCACTACTACCACTGCTCCACCTGCTGTTCCCTTGCTCTTCATTCTAAAGTCTTCAAAATCACAATGAGGGACCAGCAGGTTGCATAATGGTTACTTTACTGGGCTCTCATGTAGTTGACCCTGGTTTGAGGCCCTGATCTGGTGACTTACAACTCACGCCAGGTGTGTGTGCATGCATGCCCAAAATCCCAAGAAAAGAACAAAGGAAAAGAGAATGCAGTGTGGCCATCTCCCCAGGGGGATGATTTCTAGCTTTCTGTCACTCTGTCTCTCCAGTGAGCTCATGCACCCTATAGCAAAAAAATCTCTTAAAAAAAAAAAAGATTCCTCATAAGCCAAGTCTCCTCATTCCCTCATAGAGATGGCGATGAGCAGATTCCATGTGATTCTTTATATATATATATATATATAAACATCTTTGGGGTGCTAACAGGTGGCATAGTGATTACAGCCCTGGACTCCAACATGATCAATTGCAGTTAGAGACCCAGACCTGGAGACTTGAGAATCATGCAGGGCACTTGGCCATGTATGCCCAAAGTCCTAGAATGAGAATGGAGGAGAGGGGTTGCCACATGGCCATCCCCTCCAAGGGATGATTTCTCACTTTCCCCCTTATTTTCTCTCTCTGTTTCTCCCCAGCAAGCACATGTGCCCTATTGCAAAAGTTTTTATTTTTGTGGCCAGCAGATGGTATGGAGGTTAAGGCAGCTGGATCGCATGTGGATGACTGCACAGTTCAAGTCCTGGACCTGTGGCTTGAAAAACATTCCAGGCATGCGTGCATGGGTGCTCAAAATCCCAAAAAAAAAAAAAAAAAAAAAAAAAAAAAAAAGATAATAGAGGAGGAAGGATTGTGGCATGGCCATTCCCCTTGGGGGCTGCTTTCTCACTTACTCTCATGAGCACATGTACCCCATAACAAAAAAAAAAAATTGATGGTTGCAATGTATGTATACAATGCAGCAGTAACATACTACTCAAGAGAAGCCAGATTCCGCATGGCAACCACAATTCAACTCCCCAAATCCTACAGTGGCTATATTAATTTGCATCCTCACCAACAACTTTTTCACTACAGTCTCACCAGCATTTATCATTTTTTAATATTTTTATGAATATTTACTGCTAAGTGAAGCAAGTCAGACTATGAAAGAGAGGCATCGTATGTCCCCATTCAATATATACTGAATGTCTGCACTCTGTGGCAGAAACTGAAAGAATGGAAGATAAGAAAAAGCATGCAGAACAATTGTGGATACTAGAGACAGTGTTGCAGGAGGGTGGGAAATGGAAAGTGAAAGGAAGGGAATCAAGGGGAAAAAGAAACAACATTTAAGGGACACAAAAATGGGAAAGTGTTGATAGTGTATATGATAATATCTTTTTTTTTTCTTTTTTCTTTTTTTTTGAGAGATTTTCACTGTAGGGCGCGTGCGCTCGCCAGACAGAGAGAGACATAGAGACAGAAAGCGAGAAATCACCCCCCAGGGGGGATGGTCACGCCGCAATCCCTTCTCCTCCATTCTCCTCTCGGGATCTTGGGCACGCACGCACACGCGCCCGGCGTGAGTTTTAAGCCACCGGGTCCGGGACACGAACCGCGGTCGACTACATGGGAATCCAGCGACATAGCCATTACGCTAACTGCTGGTTCCCAATGATAATATCTTTAACTGGATTAATATACAGTGTATTCATGCTGGGAAAATTCATTTTATATGCTATAATGATATACAGTGATTGAATGTATAAAAAGTTGGGTTTTTTTAATCCCCAGTCTACTAAGAAGAAAATAATTCAAAGTTTCTAACTATTTCTGGGTTTCTTTCAAGACAAGATTTAGAAATACTACACTTGGTTTATGGAAGACCAAACAAAATCCCCTGTTATCAATATTATCTTTTTGATGGTGGTGATGATGGTTGAATCCTATCTGGATTCAGATTCAGAGTGTATAACCTGTACTTTATATTGCCATCCCCTAGTAAAACTAAATAAGAAATTCAAAGTGAGGGGTTTTTTTTACATTTAATTTCAATATACCTTTACGGCACACAAAAAGTATTTTCCCTAGCATAAATACACTGCATATTAATCCAGTCAAAGATATTACTATATACATTATCATCAACAGATAACTTTGCATTCTTGTGTCCATTAAACGTTTTGTTTTTTTTCCCTCATTCTCTCTTCCTCCCATTACCCACCTCCATCCTGCACTGTCTCTAGTATCCACAATTGCTCTTCCTGCTTTTATATCTTTGAATCTTTCAATTCCCTCCATAGAATGCAGACATTCCCTATTAAGTGGAGACATACAATGACTCTCTGTATAACTACTGGTGGAAAACAAAGGGGAAACTCTTAGAAACATTGAACTCTTGGAGACATTGGAGTTAGCAAAGACTTCTTAAACTAAGACTCCCAAAGCACAGGCAATAATCCCGAAAATAGACAAATGGGACTACATCAGGCTAAAAAGCTTCTGCACAGCAAAAGAAACGATCATTAGAGTGAAGAGCCAACGATCAGAATGGGAGAATATATTTGCAAACTGTGCCTCAGATAAGGGACTAATAAACAGAATATAGAGGGAACTCAAGCAGCTTACCCACTAAAGACAAGTAAGCAATCCAATTTAAAAATGAGCAAACGAGGCACACGGTCTTAAGGCTGAGCCGTGGTGGACATTTTTTTTTATATTATCATCGTAATCTTCTTTATATTACATTGGATTACATATAACTTTACACTGACTTCCATTGCTTTTTCAAAAGGGAATGCCATGCATGTCAGTCAATACAGAGACATCAATCTCCCCGCTTTATCATTCAATGTCTTTTCCATGCATTTCCCAATAATTATTATAATTTTTTAAAACAGTCAATCACTATTTCTCATTTTGCTTGTTAAAAGACTTCACCCATCATGAAATTCGGCCGTGGTGGACATTTTGAGGGCAGCAGATCCCCAGCCTGTGAACCCCGTACCACCTCTTGTGGGAGCCTGAGTAGTCATTGCAGCTTTCTCCCTTTGTCTCATAACCATGTCCACCAATGAGAATGCTAATTCACAAAACAATTAGAAGAAAAATGGGGAGGAAAAGCGTTAATGGGACAAAGAAACATGCCAGTTTCTGTTAAAGATATTTTATAGTTTAGTCAACTGGACTAGGGAGAGATGTTCACATGTTGAAATATTCACTTTGTAAGCTAAATAATGTGGGACCAGCAGTTAGCATAATGGCTATGTCGCTGGACTCCCACGTAGTCGACAGCGGTTCATGTCCCGGACCCAGTGGCTTAAAACTCACGCTGGGCGCGTGTGCGTGCATGCCCAAGATCCCGAGAGGAGAATGGAGGAGAAGGGATTGCGGCGTGACCATCCCCCATGGGGGGTGATTTCTCGCTTTCTGTCTCTCTGTCTCTGTCTGTCTGGCGAGTGCACACGCCCTATAGCAAAAGAAACTCTCCAAAATAATAATAATGATGTGATTGTATAAAAGAAAATGGAATTAAAAATAAATTTTAGAAAAGAATGCTAATTCACCAGCTGCCCGTCTTAACAGATTCAAGAACGAGAAAAAGACAGTACAGAATGAGGCAGCAAAGAATAGAAGTTAACGTGGAGCTGAGGGAAGCTAAGAAAGATGACCAGATGCTGAAAAGGAGAAATGTAAGCTTGTTTCCCGATGATGCTACTTCTCCACTGCAGGAAAATTGCAACAACCAGGGCACAGTAAATTGGTCTGGTGATGACGTTGTCAAAGGCAAGAATTTGGAAAGCCCGCTCCAGGCTACTCAAGCTGCTAGGAAGCTGCTTTCTAGGGAAAAACAGCCCCCATAGACAATATCATCTGGGCTGGGTTGATTCCAAAATTTGTGTCCTTTTTGGTAAGAAATAATTGTAGTCCTAACTAGTTTGAATCTGCGTGGGCATCCACTAACATTGCGTCTGAGACGTCAGAACAGACCCAGGTTGTAGTGGAGGAGGTGCTATCCCAGCATTCATTTCTCTGTTGGCATCTCCCCACACACACAACAGTGAACAAGCTGTGTGGGCTCTAGGAAACATCACAGGGAATGGTTCGGTTTTCCAGGACCTGGTTATTAAGTATGGAGCAGTTGACCCGCTGTTGGCTCTCCTTGCATTTCCTGATACACCATCATTAGCATGTGGTTACTTACGTAACCTTACCTGGGCACTTTCAAACCTTTGCTGCAACAAAAGTCCTGCACTCCGGCTAGACGCTGTAGAGCAGACTCTTCCTACGTTACTTCATCTCCTGCATCATGATAATCCAGAAGTATTAATAGATACCTGCTGGGCTATTTCCTACCTATTACCAATGATCCAAGTGAATGGATTGAAATGGTTGTGAAAACGGGAGATGTTCCCCAACTTGTGAAGCTACTAGGAGCTACCAAATTGCCAATTGTGACCCCTGCCCTAAGAGCCATAAGTATTGCCAAGGGGTACCAGTCAATCCAGTGGGAAAAGGAAAACCTCTTCAGCAAATGGTGCTGGCAAAACTGGATCTCCACTTGCAGAAAGATGAATCTGAACCCCTACCTCTCACCTCTGACAAAAATCAAGTCAAGGTGGATCAAAGATCTAAATCTAAGACCTCAAACTATAAAACTGCTCCTGGAAAACACCGGGGAAAATCTGGGAGACATTGGGGTAGGGAAAAACTTCTTAAATAAGACTCCCA